CATGTTCATTTCTGTACAGAAGACAGTCACATATTCTTACTGATATCTAACTTGAAAGTATATCCCTTGCCCCGGATGTTTTTTTTTTATTCATAATCAAAATGATTTATTTGTAAAATCTTGCAAAGACACTGAACAAAAGCAGTTATCAGTATACATATATAAAGTTGTTCACTTCAAATTAGTGTCAATTAATTAGTATTAATAACTACGTTATTGTTCGATTCAATAGAAAGACCGCCAAATATAATATGAACATTGTCAATATTTTCTTTGTCAAATTCGGGTGGGACACTGTATACTGTCTCGTTGCATTTGATATATTGCATCATCTTTCCCTCGAGTACAAAGACACACGTAATCATGTAAAAAAAACAACAGATCAAGCAAGTTTTACATGGGTGGACTTAATTCATGTATGATTAAGATTGTATATGAAAAAAATTGACTGGACAAGCTTCAGCTCCAGTTAATCTTCAATTTTCTTAATTGTTACTTTCTTACCCAGATAGATTTAAATGGATATTACACAGGTTTTAGAACTGTATGTTATGATGACAGAGAATTTAATCCATGCATATTTACCAACTGGTTTGTATTTTACATAATTAAAACATAGCCGGATGTTACTATAATACTAGATTATATTATAGTAACAGATTCCACATACATATTTATGACATGATATCTACCATATTACATTTTTTAACGCTGTGCGTCGACAATTCACGGCACGTCATTCTGTCGTACTTATAAGTAGTCTTATTATATTGCATTTAATAAATATACGTGATTATGAATTAACAATAATCAAAGTTGCGGAAAATAATTTGTTTATGACATTTGAAATTCAGGCGTATTTATATGTGATGTCAAATAGATATTATTGACATGGAAGATAAATTTATATTTATTCTAAAACATATCTTTTTAACTTATCAATTTTAACATTTCAATTTTGCTAGTTTCAGATGTAACTATATTAAAATATAGGTATATTATATCAATTCCATTGTTGGTACTTAAAACTCAATTAGGATTCTATTAATTCATGTATTATCAAATTCGCTAAAATGCCATGTAGGTATGGCAACATGTTTTACAGTACGCCTTGGTTGGAAACAAGTTACAATACAACTTAACCGTGGTCATGTTGGTAGGTGTATCGACAGACGAATTGAAATTCAATATATTTTATGTTAACATGTCACTGAACTTGTGTACCATGCTGATTTATTGTTATCAAATATCTTGGCCAAGTTGTCTTCATTTACGTAAACTTTAACAAGACGTTTAATTCGATCTGCTCTAACACATACTATTCCATTAAGGGTATATTTATAATATACATGTATTCTAAAATTGGTTAACACGACTATAACCAAGCCCTTGCATGAACATAGGCGGTTAATGTTCTCCTCGGTGCAACATAACATCTTGTGCCCCGAGGATGTCAGTCGGGAACTCTTTTGCTTGTAGCACCTGGTGTCCTCCAAGGGTCACAGTTGGAATCTCGTTTGTTCGTAACATCTGACGTGTCATTATCTTTCACAAACAAACAGAATCATTAATAATCTCTAACGAGTCGGGCATATCGGTTATGAACAAGGGTGTCAATATCATCCACAATCTGAACTTCTCTACACATATGAACGCCATTATTTTGAAGGCTCGGACATTAGATCCAAAAAATGCACTCATGCAACACGAATCAATATTTGTACATTAGTCTGACCCTCACACACTGTCTTGTTTTGTTTCACTGTGTACAACAACGGTGCTACTATAAATATTGTTAATATCACGCAACGTTTGGTTATCTTATTATATAATCTACTGCATTGAAACTATATAATAACACAAACATAAATGATGAAACACACCACAAATAGACAAACGTATAGAAAACCATAATATTCTGGATTTTAAGACACTTATTATCCACTGAAGTACTAATGTCAGATTTGAGACTTAGTGAAATGATAAGGCATTTACTGAGGAGCGGACACTGTGCGTCCCAGGAATTGTGAAGAACCCACTTAATATACATTTGGGTTTTACGGTTGGGGTTAAAGTGTTGGTTTCAAATATTTGTTTTTTCTCATCTTTCGTCTAACATGGATTCTAACTTGATTTTACTCCCAATTTTCGGAAGACGGAGCTACGTCATGGAACGTATTTCTATGGGCTATGCGTGAGTTGCTGTGGAACGCCGGTCGAACTGCCGGTGAAAACAGCAAAAGTCGAGAAATCTAAACACCACTTCATTCATAGGCCACTTGGAAGATTTACTATTATATTCATAAAGTAATCATAATAATTAAATGGACTGAAGATTTATATATTCCTAACAAGTTTGAATGTTCTGTCCCATACGTGAACGCATTTGGGTATAACCGATATGCAAACATATGGGATTATCTAAAAACTTCATACTTGGTATAGCCTGAACACGACTAATGAAATCCACCTCTATTCAAGAAAGTTATATAACTTTTTTTTTTCCATAACCTTCACTCAATTCCAGAATGATCCGAAATATCATTTGCCTGGACAACGTTCATACGGTACTTCACACAAATAAACTCGTGTGTTCGTCTCGGGGCCTCTTCAATCTGACACGAGTCTTTGTTCGATTCAATGGAAAGACATTTTTCTCAATTGTTAGTTTCTCATGTAGATTTCAATGGATATTACGCAGCTTTTAGAACGGTGTGTTAATTTAACCCATGCATATTTGCCAACTGGTTTGTATTTTACATAATTAAAACATAACCGGGTGTTACTTTAATACTAGATTATATTATTTCACTAACGCCGGCTTGATAGTGGCACACGTGCGCATGAAAGTACAGTTTTGCAAGATTGCTAGCCCAAGGTGGGATACACGTACAAATAATCGACACATATTTAGACTAATAACTCAGTTGGTCACACCTCTGTATATTCATTGCTTGAGTATCAGTTAGCTATTTTTCGTTTTAGGTAGCAAATTCGACGATACCGTGTATACAGCCAGACGAAGCCCTACCCGGGCCAAAACGTCATGAAAGCACGGCTATACCAAACGTAGCATGTTACTCTTTCTCGATATTTTATTCATTTCCGTATGCTATATCCGACATGACAGTCAACTTGAGTACAGCCAGAGAAATTATTCTCGAGAAAAAAAAAAAAAGATGTATTATTTCATGCCTATCTGCAATCTGCACTTATTGCATATACGTACATAACTGACATAGAAAAAAAACATAGGTCGTGATATATATTTTATTTTACATAGCGTCCACTCAATTCCAAAAAGTTCCGAAATATCATTATCCTGGATAGCGTTCATGAGCTTCATAATGCTACTTTACATAAGTACACCTGTGTGTTCGCTCAGCGCTCCTTCAATCTGACCCTGTCGGACTGCCCAGGTGACCTAACTCAATATCCGTCTTTAACGGTACAATTCTGTCCTCACATCAGTATAAACTTCCGTTTACTGTCAAATTCATCGATTCAAGTGCCTGAATGACTGACAACCGCTCGCTTGCGATTATTCGACTGTGTGCATGATCGGCTAAACAGTACGCTCTATACTTTATGCACAATGAAAGCACACCAACACAAGATGAATGTGTACGTATCACACCAATGTGAATGCACACCATAACATGTTGAAGGTATATCATAACAAGATGAGAAAATGAATGTACGAGATAGCATGATGAAAACACAGCATGAAAACATAATGTTTAGCATACTATTTTGTTTTTACATCATAACATATGATATCATGAAAAAATGTGCATCATAACATAATTAATATACATCAGTGAATATAACAAAATTACCAGAATACCAGTCAGATGGTTGCTTCACACATGACCTAAATGTTCCCTCCTAAATATTATTTTTAACAAATCACATATGAAACGGTTAGTTGGTACCATCATTGGTATAGTAACAAATTGCTCAACATTGTCAACAAAATATATATTAAAATAACACATAAAGCATACACAGATGTGTTAGGTTGCAGAATATACATAAACATAAATACTATATATGTCTATATGGGGGGGGAATGGACAATCTCTTCAATTTATATCGCTTATAAATTACATATGTTTCAGTTAAAGGGCGGTAGTAGTAGCGCCACGCATGCGCGAGATATACGGGTCGCATATAAACAAAGATAGCGACTGTGGCTGTCGTGCGGAACGAGTACAAAGTGAGACGTTACTAAGCTTTAATTAGGTATATTTTAGATGATATGAAGGTATTGAAAGAGTCACTGGCGGTAATTAGAGCAAGTCGCGCCCAGGTCAAACCTCATACTTGTAATTTCCAGAAGAGCGCATTGGATTGTGCGAAAATCAATGATTATCAACACAATTGTCGCACATGCGCAGCGCGACGACTACCACCCCTTAATATAAATTACTTTCACGCAATACATGTTCGAGTAATAAAAAAAAATATTTGCAACGCTTCATTTTTCAGACACAATAGGCGATTAGCTTAAATGTTAGTCCGTACTTGCTGTAGCTTGAACACGACTAGTAAAAAATGAAAATAATGGTCATTTCACGAAATGATATTTAAATGCTTAATTTTTCAGACACGATGAATCTGTTGGGAGGAACCAAGTTGTATGTAATATGGATCATCTACACTTTTGGTAAGATCAGCATGATATTACTCTACAATAATTTTCTCGTTATTGCCCGGATGTTCACTGAGTAGTTATACTTGAGTGAAATTGAACAATACACGGAGTGTAACATGCTCATTCAAGAACCCAAACTTGCCATCCTGTAAAGTATGCATAACCTTTATACGATGACCCGTACATACATAGTCCGCTACATGAAGATCGGTTCACTACATAACAATGGCATAGTCTCTGTTGCAATTATAATATGGGCAAAATGGCTGCAAGTCTGTTGTCTTTTAATTGATCACAAATTGTCTTGCTACTTGCCAAATATCCGCAAACAAATTAGACATCATTGGACATGTGACCAGTTAAATTGTTTCGGAAATTGTAATGTATCAGATTTATTAAATAACTTCTAAAATTACAATTCAATATATGGTCACGAACTGTATATTTTTATTTGCTATCTCTCATATTTATGCATTTTTTGTATTAAACTCAAGTAAAGTGCATGTCTCAAGTGAGCATGCGTCAACTTTGTTATGGCGTTACCAGTAACACAAATTCTAACAATGTTTTATGGCGGGCACAAATTTAGGTACTTTACAAATTGATGATAACGAATCATAAGTCAAACATAAATATGTATCATGTCACTTGTCATTCATGAATGTATTTGCAAACCGGACTCACTCATGTAATCCTGAATGATCTATGTACATTTGTTTTCATATTTATTAATGTTGTTATTAATATGTACATGGACATGTGTTCCAACATATAGGGTGTATGTACCATTTATGAATGAAAATGGTCCATAGGGCGTTTCAGCATGACCAAAAAGCAAGTTGGCCACCATTCGAACGTGAAACGAATTGTCATGGACATGTTTCCAAACATGTTTAATGTATGTATTTGAACACAAACTGAAAAAGATTGCTAAATATACCTTTTCAAAAACCAAGATGGCTGCCAGTCAGTCATCTTTCATCAGGTTTCCAAACGAATCGTCATGAACAAGTATCCTAACATGTATAAAGTATTTACTAAAAATAATAAAATGGCTGCCAGTTGGCCACAATGGACTAGATCACTGAATGACTAAACCACTGCATTCATGGACTGACGGAGACCGCATTATATGTCCCCGTTTTCGAAATTCGACCGAACGTGACTAAACAAAACGCCAGAGGTAACGTTCCACTTGCAGATAAGACACATATGGTAAAGAGATTATTCATTCAATGCATTTTCAAAAACCAAGATGGCTGCCAGTCAGTATTATTTGATCAGGTCACAAAACGAATCATCATGAACATGTATCTTAACATGTATAATGTTTATACTAAAAAAAATGGCTGCCAGTCGGTTACCATAAATCGATTGACTACACTCCTGCATTCATGGACGGACGGAGACCGAATTATATGTCACCGTTTTCGAAATTCGGCCGAACGTGACTAAAAAAACGCCAGAGGTAACATTATATATGCAGATATGACACATATGGTAAAGAAATAATTCGCGGATAGTACCGGAGATGAAGTGTGGCATTGCTCGAAGGTATATTGACATTTATCTCGTGTTATGGACTCGAAATATTATAAACACTTTTCTACCCACAATGCAAAGCGGGAGTTCCTTGCCGACCATTGCCGTTTGTCATTATTTGTGACGACACATATGGGAGTAAAACAAATATTGTTGCTTCTCACTTAAAGAAGGAATTCGTAAATGTTGATATCAATATTAGGATACGGTAATAATAAAAATATCGTAAGAAAAAAACATGTGCAAAAAAACAAAGCATGTGCAATATGAAAACCATAAACATTAAACAAAATTGTAGATGACTAACTGGCTGTAAACGCTGAGCTCGTCATGCCACTGTTATTATAATGTGTATATTGCTTTATTAAAATACAACTATAGAAATAATCCTATATTATGCAATTCTTTCGTTTTATTACAGAGATTAATATTTCATAGAACGTATGTGTGTTCGTACATTAATCAAATTAACAAAGCAAAAGTGTGTTTTCTTAATCTTTTCGCCACCAGATTTTCTTGACTATTTTTTTCTTCAATTTTTCTTATATATTCTTCAATGTTTCTGGGAATCAACCCTAATTTGAGAGTCAATTGACAATATTTGATTAAATTTTCAGTTTTTACTCAAAACATATGGCTATTTGTGTCCAAATCTTCTGCAGGAAAATTGCAGACTACGAACGGTTCTATTTTGTAAACTTATGATGAAAAAAAGGGAACTGGTGGTGAACAGGTTAAGAGGAAGAACATGAAAGATGAAAGAAAGTTAAACATTTGCTATAAAAGTGTTGCATTAACAGTTATTATTGACATTTCTATGGGTGCTTTAGCCTCACTGGTCAGTATATGTTTTTTTAGTTTACAATAACAATCATAACCTAATTTGATTATCAACAAGTAGTATCAAGCAAGGATGTTAAACAAACAACAACTTATTTTTCGCCATATCTGATCACGTGCCATGAAATAAAATAAATAACAGTCGACATGACGCAAAATCAAATTACACACATGAAATTAATAATTCAATTGATTAAGATTTAATTACACAAATCCAAACAATTACGGATTAACAAAACCTAATTACACCGTTGTTAAGCACGGTTTTTGTTATTCCAGTCCGGGCTTAGTATTATAGATTGTCCTTAGTTAATAAAGTAAAAACATACATGAAAAAAAAATAGTATATTAATTGTTGTCTCAACAGTGCATTCAGAAAAAAATATAGAATAACAGCTTAGTCACAGAAATGAATCCCCGGGGTGAACAGATGGTCAAACTATTATACTAAACAAACATGTATACCCGGACGCAATCAATTTGATAAACAATTTATACATAAAACAGAATAGCATATGTTAGGTCAATGTACATAACACTGGAAAAAATACAGGAACAGCACGTGACAAAAATAATAATAGTAACCACTGGGGAGTAAAGAGTCGGTCAAACATAGAGACAAAAACTGTTTTTAACAACATTTAAAGATTGACAATACTGTTAAACACGGTAGCCATCGATTACTAATCACTCAGTCGCCTCCAAGCCATCACCCAGGTAACAACCTCTGAATGATATTATTTGTACAACCTGTGTTTACATCAATATCTGTATTATGTGGGATTATATTCATGAGAACCCAGTAATAAAAAACATACGTAGAAATGT